CGCAGCCCCTTCCTGCTGCGGGGGGTCCTCCCCAGGCAGTTGCCCCCGGCCAGGGGGGTAGCCCCGTGGGCCCTTGCGAGGGGCAGCTCATCCCGTGGGAAACCCTTGGGGTGTGAGTGAGGGGCAGGGCCCGACTGGGCTGATTTGGGAGAGCTGGGAGCCCTGAGCCAGGCTGGCTGTCGTGAGAAGCTGCAGGCTCTTCCCAGCCTCCTGGTGGCCATGCCAGCGCTGTCCCCAAAGGGCTGGCAGCAGAACATGTCACATCAATAAATGTAGTGGGTGCCATGCTGGGTTAGGGGGGCAGCATCCACCATCTGAGCCTTCTCTGTGAAGGCACCTCCCTCTGGCACAAGGGACACGGAGCCCCCAGAGTGTGTCTGTCCCACCTGCCCTTACCTGGGCTGTGCCAGGGAGCCCTGGAGACTCGTTCTGTGTTCAGAGAAACTCAAATATATTAAAAACGCCCAGGCTTGCTGGGATTGACAGCACCTGTCGAAATATTTATCCCTGTTCCGATCAGGCGCTGTGTTCCCATGACAGCATGACTAGCACTTTGCATATTCATGGCCTCTCTGGGTGCTGGGCTCCCCGTGCCCACCTGCCCCGGGCCCGGGGGGGCACTGAGCTCCCCCTCCCATGTCCTGGCTGTGGCTGCTGGGAACCGTTCCCAGGCTGGCACATCCCTGCTGGAGCTGCCTGGAGCACCCAGGGTCAGGCAGGGGATGGGCAGGGCAGGGGGCAGGGGTCAGGGCAGAAATGATGGCAAATCCTGCAGAGTCCAGGGTGGTTTGTGCTGCCCCCTGCCACAGGGGCCATGGGAGATGTGCAGCTTGCACATCAGGTGTCACTGCTGCTCCCTTGTCGCCTGGGAGCAGTGCTGTGGGCAAGGAGGGGCCCGAGGGGGCTGCAGGAGCAGGGGGACATGAGGTGGGCTTGGCTTTTCCCCGCTGTGGTGCTTTCCCGGGGGGCTGCATTGGGGTTGCAGAGGTCAGTGGCTCCCCGGGACTTGAGGGAGCGGTGTCCCCAGTGGTGGCAGTGTCACCGTCGGTGGCAGTGCCCCTGGTGCTGTGCTCGCTGGGCTCTGGCATGGCCGGGGACCCCCCC